TGCTAAGTTGGGCTTTGACTATAGACACACTTGTCTTTATACACACTTCCTAGAAGTAGATATGTCATGTCAACGTAGCACTAATATAATGTTAATGGACTACTGATCCTATTCAGCTCTGTACGTGTGGGGATATAGTTTTTACCTGGTAACAAAAAAAAATAATAATAGGTGTGGTAATGTCGCAGTTTCGGTCCTGAGAAAAGTCAGAAACATTTAATATATGTAGTTGTCCTTGAGTCTTTTAGTAAATGGTCCTCACGAAAAATAACCAGATGATCATAGACATTATCTTTATACTTTATTCACTGCAGCTTATCATTAACCATTGCACATGCTTTGTACAATTTAAGGAACCATTCTGTAGGAAAATTAAAGAGAAAATAGAACTAGGATGGAAATCTTAAGCACACTCTCAGATAGGCACATTTTAGTATGTTCTGATTGAGTAACAGCGTTGCTGCAAGATATGTCTATTTTATATCCAAAGTCAATGGTTATTGGGTAAGGTATACTCCAGGTCCTATTGCAGTTTTCACATTGAATGTAGTTAAATTACGAGATTTGCTTCTGCGGGGAGAATTACCAGCTTGAACATTTTATGGATAGTGATGAAGTGGCCTGTGTATAAGAATACATTTAGCCTACTTAGTATATTAGATGATACAGGTGTGTTTTAACACATCCAAAATTCCAAGTATCGTTAGTCACTTTTTGACATACAAGCTCAATAGCTCATATTTTGGTTTTCTTTACTTCGTTGCCGATCAACTGCATAGTTAACTACGAGGATAAATTGTGGATATTTATAGGGATGCACTGTGGATACGATGCTCCCTGGTGTGGATTAACGTCCGCACTAGTGAGTACTACGACTATCCGCAGTACTATCCTGATAATTAGACCAATTCGTAAATTACAAGGAAAAATGTGGTTCGGATTCCACTATAAACTGTAGGTCCCTTAGTTGCCATTAGCTGTATGGGCTATTAATTAACAGCTGTGTCTAAGGAACATGTCGACCTTAGTCACTAACAAGACTACAAGATCGCGCCACTCATCCTACACTCATCCTTCACTCATATTTGGGTTAAAATACGCACATAGTGGCGTCCCCATCTTAAATAATTGATAATTGATAATTGATTGAGGTTTAGGGTTGTTGTGAATGTTATTGTGTTACAGTAAATAAGACCCAACATGGTGTTTTCGCAAGTAAAAAGAGTAAATCGTATAGGAATACGTTAATGGTAGATAATTGAATTTATGCCAACAAAGGTTTTTAAATCGAGTTTCCAGGTATATTTCCAGTACCTAATAAACCACTAATTTTATAGACTTGAACCAAACCGGATCGGTAGAAAACAAAAACCCTAGAAACCTACAATACATACTCTGAGCTTGCGAAAATACTAACAGTTAAAAATAAGTCACAATTAAAGATTAGTCATACTTTAAAACATAACATCCAATTAAAATTCATTGAAGTAGCTCCGGAGCTGTAATAATGACTAATATTGGTTTGATATTACCTATCGTCAGTTCCAAATTGTAACTTTCGTAAATGCTACATGTTTCGGCGAGCTGCCATTGTCAAGCATACAATCCAGGAATGCACATTAAAAATGAAATAATGAACATAAATAAAGTATACTTTTGGTTGTATAGGCCTATCACAGGTACGAAACGACCCATCTACGAAAGCTACAATTTGGAACTGACAACAGGTAATATAAAACCAATGTTAGTTAAAATCCAATGACTCACCTAGTTAATTCACTCATTTCATTTAGTTCATTTAGGTAACACATTAATCATAATTGTCATATATTTTGAGTGAACAACCTTACATTATTAATTGTTATTTGATAAAACACAATGGTGGTAATGCAATTACTGTCTTTATACAGTGTTATAATAATTTATCAAGATAAATTAAATCGAAATTATAATCTGAAGTAGAAGAACTAAATCACTTTATTTACCGGACAATTGTATGGTTGACAATCACACGAAATGTCTCTAATTTTGGGAACATAGATGCTGGACAAGTTCCAAACCCAAAAAAGACAAATTGAATCTCATTAATGGGAAAATCCAATCTCGAGCCCTCAAGAAATTACTTTTTAACTTCGCAGGTTGTCGCATTTACACTGGAACTTAGTATAAGTGTAGTCTAGTTAATCAGCTATAATGGTTACATTATAACTTACATTAATTAGTTGTGCTTAAAGGGGTCGCAAAAACCATTAGAAGCAAACTATTTTCTCTGCATTAACCTTAGATTCGTGGTAAAAATTACAGCATCATTTTTATTACGAAAACTTTTACCTTAGGAATATAAATAACAATTGGCTCTTTAATTTTTCAAAAATTAACTTTTATTACGAGGTATATTTGACTGTGCTTGCTCTTTGGTTGTAACACAAGACGAGTAGCTATTTTTTGAACTTGTAGGCTATTATCTGTAATATGTTTTTCCATACATGACAGTTTTGATGTTACCAATTGAATATTTGAATACCTTGGTAACAGATTCTCGTCAATAATATAAAACATATAGAAACCATTCTTGTAGCCCAAAGAAAAATTACATGCATATTTTTGGGGAGCAAATTAGCTTAAAGAATATTACGGTTTGACCAAAATATGGTCTAACTCGGTGCTATATTTAAGAAATAGAAATAAGAATATCTTTACAGTATTATCATTAAATACTTAAGTACAATAGATAACGTCAGAATCAACTACTATTTTTCTATGGATTAGGTCTATTGTACTGTATTGATTTTTTCGACCCTTATACATTGCACATGGTTAAACTCCGAATCGAGTCTTGGTAATACATGCTTGTCTATGATAGCAACACACGAAAGTCTGAGGTGACATTAATAATGTGCATTGACACAAATATGGTTTGATATGGCCCTAAAATCTGTTTTCCGACCCTGCACATTTGCTTATAGTTAAACTTGTGTTGGAGCAAAAAAGTTATTCTAGGCCCATTAGTTCATATGTACTATTTTGTATCAGTATTCAGACAAATATAATGTATTTTGGTTGTGATCTAATCACAACCAAATAATAAATAATAAATAATAAATGAGGACAGTCAATAAAAATGTTTGATGTCGCAGAGTAGAGTACAGGAGATGCGTACTGCGTAGTACAGATGCTTAGTACAGAGTACGTTACCCTGGGCGCTGATGTAGTTTCCGAGCTGCTGACGATGTTATCAGATGCTGAAGAGCCGCTGAAGCTGCGTCAGCAAGCTAACCTTCCAGGAACGGCGTAGGAATCTAACATTCAGGCCATTGTTTCGTATACAGTGTGTGTTGAACCTTGCTTTAAATATTGAATATGCCATTATGGTTAAACAAGAAAGAAAAATGTATTTGAATGTTAAAATATTTCATCAGTACTTGCCTAGGTACGATAAGTGGACAGTTTGTTGGTTTTATGCCAGTGGAATTTTGTAATTGAGTTCATTATAAGATCGAAAAGCAATTCAACCTTATTCATTAGGACTGTAATGCACTTCATTAGGAGTGCTTTGCGTATTGCAGAATATGTGGAAGGGCGGCGTTGACTTGAGTGAGATGATGTTCGCAACTTTGTTTCCAACAAGACCAGATATTTAATCCACTCAAATGTTTGATATATATCATCCTAAGACCTAAGCTAACACCCAAACCTTTGTCGTAAAAGTATTGACAATCATGTTTACAATTTAAATATGTAAAATATACCCTACATTAATCTTATAAGAAACATCCGTACTGATTATTCTTTAGCAAATAGTAATTACTTTCAATTTATCATGAAACGTTCGGGCTTGCAAAGATAACACAAAGATTGAATAAATTCAATAAGTTCTGAAAAATAATGTAAATATTCTTTGGATTTTGCATGGTTAAAGGACAACAGATTAAACAGTTTTTGAATGTGATTAAGAATTTAAAACTATATTTAAAACGGAAAAACTTAACTGTTTGACAACAAAGCTACTGTTTTTCTTTTAAGATTAAACTTAAAACAAAACAATCCCACTAAAGTAACAATTACAATGTTTTTAGTAATACAGATGTAGCTTGATTGAGTGGCTAAAAATAAAGTATTTTATCGCCTGACTTAACAAATATTTCAGAGGTTAAAAACAAAACCCATTGATTCATCATAGTTTACTTATGTATAAAACAACTACTAGTAAGCATTTAGTAGTATTGACTCGTAAAGTCAATATTATATTAGGAACTGTTTCTAGAACTAACACTACAATCTAGATCCCGTGTGGAATTATTTGTTTGACAATCTTCCTAAGCCCAAGTTATTAACCAAACACAAATTGAAATAAAAAAAAAACATACACAGCTCTGGACTTACAACCGTAATAAATATAGTGGACGTTTTATTTGTAGTTTAGGTGGATAGTTAATTTTACTGAGAAATTATAGCCAGTCTAACTACTTGAAAACTAACTGTAAAATATATGCGAACATTCAATGTTTTACATTTACAAAATACATTAATTATGTTTATCTTAACGGAAATTCAATGTTTGCAATGAGATCAAACACAGTAAGATTATAGCTGTGTGTGTGTTTTTTTTTTGTGAAAAGGGGAAATAATGTTTTCAACGGTTAACACAGATTAGGACATGCTAGGATGAATTAGGAGTTAAACCTTCTCTTATTAAGCATTAAAAATGCTTCCATAACATCAATACAATCAAAAACAATTATTCACGAAGTATCAAAAGTAAAAGTTTTTGATATAAGTTAGTAAAAGATGTTTAAAGCCGTTCTAAATATTTATCATTGCTAGACATTAGGTAACGCTAACACGTTTTTAATAGCTAGACCAAGACAAAATATCAGACAAAGCGTATTTGTGAATTGGAAAATTACAAGACAAAGTTTGAACAGCAAACAAATAGTAAACACACAATAATTCAATAAACGCAATTAAACCCTTGGATTGGTATTCGCAATCGCAATCTATCCAAAGTGATTGTACATAACATTCAAATACAGTTAACAAAAAATACATTATAAAAGTAAGGCCTAATAGCTATCAAAAAATTTTAATAACGACTTGGGTTGATGTCCCTAAAAAATATAATCTAATACTGTATGAACACAATAAACAAATGCAAAAATCATCAGTCTTACAATTAGATAGCCTCATTTCATACTAGTAGGCCACAGCGGAAATTTGGCAACGTCACAGTCCCGGCTTACCGAACTAGTTGTAGCACTCATTCGTGTAGTCTGCCCAATGCTAATGTTTACACATTCATTAATATGGCTAGTAGGTCGGTGAGTGCGGCGTTGCCATATATTGGGTGCGGCCTTGACTTACCATAGCCATTAATATTTAATGTCAGGTGGTTTCTTCGTCAACAGTCGCTAGTCTACAGGACGTAGATGATGGATCTACTGGCTGCATGTCTACATATTCCGATGTAGCGATCCTAGCCGCTACAGCTTTCTCCGTGTAGTAGAACGCTACGTTGCGGAACTCTTCGTCATGGTAATACTTCAGGTTGCCCACGATGTTCATAAAGCTGGTTCTACTGGAAGGTTTGTTCTTCCAGCAAGTGGTCATGAGAAGCTTCAAAGGTACAGGAGATGTCTTAGGGATATCAAGTGTTCTTCCTCCAACAACTTCTCTTGTGACTTCGTCATTGCTGGATCCCTGGTACGGTTGTTCAGCCATGGTCACTATTTCCCAGAGGACTACTCCATAGCTCCATATATCGGAGTGACTAGTGAACACACCGTCCCAAATACTTTCAGGGGCCATCCACCTTACGGGTAGGAAACACTTGTAAGAACTTCGTCTGTAGTAATCGGTTATGTATATGTCCCTGGACATCCCGAAATCTCCAACTTTTACAGTCAAGTCTGCGTTGACCATGCAGTTTCTAGCAGCTAGATCTCGATGGACATACTTATGAGCCTCCATGTAAGCCATTCCATCGGCGATCTCTAAAGCCATTTTAATCATTGTAGCGATTGAGACCGGGGTCTCTCGCATTTCTCTTAAATAAGTTTTTAAGTCTCCAAGTTCCATCAGTTCCATCAAAGCCAGCGGAGGACTTTTATTGGAAACCACCGCGTATATTTTAACTATGAAGTGTGCGTCTACCATGTTTTTCATGACAGATGTTTCGAATAGAAATTCTCGTTCCTCTGCTGTCGTAGCGTCTTGGTTCACGGTTTTGATCGCACACCGTAAGTTCTTTGACTTCCATAGACCTTCGTAAACTTTGCCGAAGCTGCCAGTTCCCAGTTCTTTACCAAGTTCAACGTCCTCTCTGTCGATCTCGTAATGGTCAGGTTTGTACGGAGGGGGATTCAAATCAAATTCGGTATCCCAACTGCCTTTCTTACGATTTGATATTGTAGAAATCACGAAAAAGATAACGATAACTGTAAGCGAGACCAAACAAAATGCGAGTACATAGAGGAATATTGGTCGTGAGGAATGTTGGTTTTCGATTTCATATACTTCAAAAGGAACTGGTTCGGTGTAAGGGCCTTTGCCGAACAATGATATAGCTCTAATCCTAACATAGTATTTTCCTGCTGGAAAACCTTCGATTACGTGTTGGTTGCTATTTTCGATGTACTGAGAGTATGTTATACATTTTGTTTTCATATACTCTACGGATCCATTTTCCAAATCCCTGTGACGATATTCTAGTTCAAACGCAACTACTAGACCGTTTGGATTTTTCGGGGGTGCCCACTTCACAATCTTCCCGTTGTTCATATCAGGCAAAACGTCATAATAGGGAATAGCGTCCAGTTCAGTTTTTCCTTTCGTTCGAACTGTTATCATTTCTGATATACTGCATCTGTAATCTTCTGAACTATCATTTTCCAGTTCACTCTCGTGCAGTTCACGGCATGCTTTCAAATATATAACATAATTCTGAAAGCTTTTGAGGTCTTTCAGCACTAGATTTATAGATTTAGGATGCAACCGTTTTACACTGTGATTGATTTTGTTTTTCTCTCGTTCTTTAAACATTTCTAGGTATTTGTTTGATTTGCGATTATCAGTGACGATTTGATTTTTGTTCGTTGACAGTTTTTTCAACCCCAATTTTGCTCCCATATGTTCAGAATGGTTTGTTTTCAAGTCGAAATGAATAATTAAAAAATCACTACTCTCTTGGATAAATCGACTGTTGTAAATATGTGCATAAAAGAAAGATTTACAAGAAGGGTGTTTTGAACTGCCGGGTGTACTAATAGGTAAATTTGTGCATTCGCCACATAACATTTCAAACTCGTCTTTCGGTAAAGTGGGCTGAGATTCGCAGCAATTATTACTATCTGTGTTGTTCACGCCATCATTTTTATCTAGCATTTTCAGATCTCCTTCCTCAAAGTCCTCTAATCCTGGCAACATTGGATTTTCACAGTAATCCCTTTGAAGAATATAGCCTTTGTTTTCACTCAGCTCGTACCAAGTGACAACATACTCTTTCAACTTTCCGTTAGTTCGTCGAGGTGGCTGCCAGCTTAGTTCTATCTCTGTGTGTGACTTAACTAAAGCTCTCAGACCAACGACTTCAGACGGTGTAGTAGGTAGTGTCGTCCTTCGATGCATATCACTTCTAGTCACATTATTATACATCGTATAAGCAATAACATAAAACACATATGTAGTAGCAGGTTCCAAATTGGTCAAAACAATATCAATCCCTTTAGATCTCTGAAAGCCATTCGAGTCGACTGAAACATCTTTTGTTCTCCACCCATCATCAGAGCACTGTGTAAAACTGTTGAATATAGTAACATTCTTAAACACATCTTTTATGTAGTAAACCACGTACCTAAAAACCGGCAAAGTTTCCGTACAGTGTACATGCACTCGTATGGATTCAGACGTCACATCCCGTGCAGTGATATTAGTTTCGATCGGACTACATTGGAAATCGTTTCCATTGGACTTGTCAAAAATACTATCTGTTTCATTAAACCTTATGACTTTCACCAACTTTTTAATTCGGTCGAGGCAAAGTTTTGGATTAGAGTTGAAAAGTAGTTTACCTTTGAGAATTTTGAGGTTCTTCTTCTCTTTCCAGTCCCAAAGTTCTTGAAGGTTCTCGTTGTGCGTTACGTAAAGCGAGTGATATTCATTGTAAGGGTCGATACCGTGGATCACCGAGAGGTTCTTGAGGAAGTTTAAGTCCACTAGTGAAGACCGCTTGATCTGTAGGTGCCCTGTGATTTGTTCTATCGACCCGAGACTCTCCTCCAGAAGCTTGTGAACCTCGTCAGACATGGAGGCTTTGATGGTAATCTCTATTGACCCACGGATATACGTGCAGTTCTGAAGTCTCAATGCCTCTGCGATACTCGAGATCTTCGCTCCGTTACAAACCTTGGGACATTTGCCTCCCTCACAAGGAGGACAGAGTCCCATCACAGTTGGATCCACACCTCCGGGACAACTGCTTACACATTGGTTTTCGTGGATCACGTAATACCTTGTTGAAATGTTCACTTCATTTGACTGGGTAGGGACTCGTGTCGCAGTGCAATCTTTTCTAGTGACACATCTCCGGTTGAAGTATTGGTACCTGCAAAATAACTTTGGTGTAGTTTAAGTTGTATATATGCCGATTAACTGGTGTAAAACCTACATTCGCCGGATCTGAATGTTGCAGAAAGGCAACTAGATTCAACTGATATCACAGTTATCATCAGGACAACACAAGACCAGAGTATTCCAAGATCACTTGAATGCAGGAGTTTTTTTTGCGTAGCATATGTAATCTTTGGTAGTATTAATAAAATGCGATCGGAGGCTGGGGCTCTGTTATATAAAGTTGTTGCTTTTGGATGGTATCAAAATTCTGTTCGTTAGGCTGGTTAAAAATATCAAAGGATTGTGAAAATAAAATTTTCAAAAAACAAGTGCCAAAAGTGATTTCTGTAGTCTTATAATGTGTTTAAAGTTAGGAATGTAGTAAATAAAAAATATAGCAAGAGTAGTAAGTACTGTTATACGAAAGTGTAGGTTCAACAAACCATTAAAAAGCATGAGAAAGATTAAATTTAGTACTACGACATATAACCAATAAGCGAACCTTTTAACATTTATCTTTCGTGAGGATGGATTGCACACATAAAATATACCCATACGATTCATACCTAAACCTTACAGATTTATATCATATTTACTATTGGTATTTAAGGGTGTGCTTTACCTCTCCACCACGCGCTAATGCAAGGGTTTAGGATCTCCGTCATTGTCAGCTTAGTTCTTAACCAATTTAAAATATATTTATGTTAATTTATTCATTTCTTATACTTTAGGCTTGTACTTTTAAATTTTTTGATAATAGTAGAATTTTAAGTGGAAAGTGACTGGTAAATACTTCTAAATAAGCGTTTTTCTAAAGCATTTTACACATACAAAAAAGTTTTAGATGAAAATTAAAAAAGTAGAGTCATAAATTTGAATCTAAGGAGTAAGAAACAATCTTCAGATGAAAAATATTTTAAAAGTTAAGTGAGTAATTTAAGAGGACTTAAACGTCTGCAAGCGCTTCTCGCGGCGCTGTTCAATGGCGCAACAAAGCCACTGGGCCCGAGTTGAAATTTCTAAGCTGAGGTAGAGCGCACCCCTTAATTTGCCATCAAACATTCTTAATGATAAATACAACTTTTTCAGTGTGTGGGTACTTAAAATATATCCAGCTCCTACAATGGCTAAGTCCTTTTAAATTCTTAAACTTTTGCTGCTAAACTATTCTACACTTACCGATGTTCAGTGATTCAATTTCGTCAATTATCTCAAGGTCTTACACGAATGCCATTACACTTTACGTTACATTACAGTATCTGTGGTTAAGTTATAGTGTTAAGTTATACCAGAACACAAAAGTCAAATCCACTTAGACACATATTCTCAACAATGGATGTGTTTGATTTTTTATAGTTTAAAAGCATAGTTCTCAGTCTGGGTTTAATCTTTGACTATTAATACAACTTCAGTATCCAATAGTCAATGGTTTAACACACTTACGTGTTTTCCGGGCAGGTACTGGCGCATTTTTGGTCCAGATCGAAGACGCCTTTACATGTGTAGCACTTTTGAGGATCATTTGGGTCACAGTCGCCCAGACACATAGGACTACAGTTTGGAGACTTCCATTTACCCTGGAATAAATAAAAAAATTGTACATCCATTTCCATAAAAAATTAAAATTCGGTTGCATGAGTATAAGTTTTGTCAAATGTTTTGGAACTTGAGTCATTCGCACCTGAGAAGTATACAGACTGAAACCTTTTAACGTACGTTTAAACCATTAGCTTGTAGTTAGTTTCAAAATAAAAAATTAACGTTGAATAATGAATTGATCCACAGCACTGTAATTGCAATTGCTGCTCTGTTACTACAGTATTTTCACTCCGTCTTTAAATCCAATTATAGCTTAATAATTGACATTTACGACCAAAGCATGTTTAATTTAACATTAATTATTTACATATTGAAAACACCTCAATATATTACAAATGAGTGTATTGGTAGAACATAGAAGAGAACAACTACACTACTTGTGGGCTGGCGACAACGATGTAGTTTTTTACATAGTTGCTAGTGACCCCACACACATCCACAGATTGTTTCTATATTCTTCGTTCTAGGTACTACTATGACCAGCATGTTTATTATTTTGTCGGCTTTCATATTCGGTTTCCTATTGAAGTACTACAAACCCTTTAAAAGCGAAATTCCTATGGTGAATAGTCAGACAGGAATTTTACCCCCGCAATGAGCTTCTCGCGGCCGACACTTACGGTCGCTCGCGCGGCTCTTTAGCAGATTCTCTCTTAGTCTCACTCTCACACTACACACACACTCTCTCTCTCTCACACTCAGTCAGCTTACTGACGCTCACGATAGTAAATTAAAATATTCCCAAACTGAATTTTTCACAAACGCATTGAGTTTCTTACGCTTCTTCCTTTCTATATATAAATAGTTGTATTACATATATCGGGTATGTTGATAGGCTCTAACCAAGTTCTCCGAATTTGGTGCGACAAGGTCGAGTCCGATTCCCGGCATACCCACAAAGGTTTCACGAGATTGGCCAGCTTTCCCTTAATAGTGTTAGCGGTTCCCTAACTTTAAACGTAATTGATGTTTACACTAAAAAACATATGGTATAGAGGATTGTGTCATTTAAATTACCTGGCACACTGTAGAGTTCCAGCAGGCGAAAGGGCAACGGTCGGGACATCTGGGACAATTCACGGGACATGTCGAACAAAACGCTTGGTTCTGCAGTTTGTTTAGATCGCTGTTCCATTTTGTGATTTTATCCCACTGGACAGTGTTCACGAAACACAGTTCTACACGAAAAAGATCAAATGTTTAGTAAGGTACTTTTAACCAAATGAGATTGTAGTGCTATACATTTTTTACAGTTACATTCTCATCACTTGACAAAACATCACCTGGATTTATCACCTTTGATCCACCACTACCAGTACTATTGACTAAGAATATACAGTACAGTGTTTTGTTCAAATTTTGAGCTTTGACTTTCGAATTCTTTAGGCTTTACTACAAAATCATTTATCAAGTACCAATCAGTTGTTTGGAGAATGACTATTTCTGCCAACTGCTACTTTTGACTATGGGAAAAACTAAAGCGAGCTGATCTGGTCTAGTGCTTCAGTACACTAATCTCACTAATTACCAGTGGATTTTACATGGAAGTGGTAATGCCACATCCCTCTGGGATGACCTGAAGTGATGTGAAACAGTTTCGAGCTGAGCCTAACGTACTAAAATAAGAAGGTGGAACATTACAAAACAGCACTCTACTTAGTGGCTTATTTAACTACCTTAGTTTTGAATTAAAGATATGCTACAACTGATTTACATGGATTTATACGTATACTTCAGTGTGCAAAAATCGTCATAATTGTAAAAATGTTTTAATATCACCGCAATAAAGCAAGATTTGTGGCAAAAATAGGGTAAAATAAAATATTCTAATTGGTATCAGAATGCTGACACATAATTTTTCAATTGGTTTTTGGTTTCATTTTAAAATTGAATATCCTACTACTTTTATGTACAAAAGACTTCCAATATACTGGGTACCTGGAGGGGTTAACTAACTAGAACTAGAAGATCCATTGAATTACTGACATACCGGGTTCCATGAAAATCGGATCACAGGTATAGCCTTATAGCTCTGGCAGTTAATTGTTATGGTATTTTATCGGTTTTTATGAAAAAATCACAACAATCACTATACATTTTGATGCTATTTTGTTAAAATATGCAAAGACAAACTAAATTAAAAAAAAAAAAATCGTTGGAGACACATTTGTTAAAATCTGATCCATCCATTATTTTATTGGGTTTTATGGGAAAATCACAATTAAAAACAACAATTAAAAATACTCACTTTGATTCTTGTTTATCATAACAGATCCCATGGTGATCTCTCGGAGATTCAACAACCCTATCTCCTGAAGACTAAACATCTCGTAGACAATCAGGGAGAAAAATTCAATCTGTTCCACGCCACCGATCTTCTCTAGGTTGGGGAAAAGCTTTCCCAAACTGCGAAGTCCTCCGACCCGAAACAACAACAGATAGTGTGTAATCTCTCTGAGTTTGGGGAAACTGTAGTTCTCAAAGTCTTCTTCTCTCATCTTTTCCATCAGCACTATTTGCACACTTCCTTCTACAACTGTACAGTCTTGTAAGCTGGTCAAGTTGGTGACGTCGTTCCTTGCGTCAATACTGGAACAGATGCCTGGGTCGGGTAAGTGCATTGTATCCGAGTATCCGATCAGGAGTATCCAGAAGTATCCGATGAGTTTAGGTTGGTATCCTGAGGAATGCATGGCTGACTTTTGTTTGAGTGGTGTCTACTACCGGATTTCTAAGTTGACTGTGGATATGGTGCAAAATGTATTCGACATGATCTGGAAATTGAAAAAAATGGTTGAAAAAAAGATACTGTAAAACTGTCACTGGAGGTTTGTCAATGATAAAAACCTATAATGGGGCTACGTTCACCTGTTACTTCTGTGTATTCAGAAATTGCCATTTACACATAACACGCGGCCAATAATGAACACAAAATAGAGGTTTAAAAGTTACTTCATATCTAAAGATTGCTGACACGATAACTAGAAGGATAAATATTTCTTTACTTTAGTGTAACTCCTCTCTAAGATGTTATTTTAATTAGGTATTATACAAATAGCTCGACGTTAGTGATAGTAATAAACTACGATTTTGGTTGTTACTGAATATGAACGAATGAAAGCGACTTAAATAATTGAAAGTTTTTGTGTAATACAAAGGGTTCTAAGAATATACAAGAAAATTAAAACATCAACAAATACAAACTCCAATCTTAATAAAATATCTTGTAACCTGTGTTTTGTAATGTACAAAAATCCCGTCATAAAATTCACATTTGCTTTAGTTTCAAGCGCGTTTTAACATACAGCTGAACAGAATCAGAGTTTCAAAATGACCATGATGTTTAAATTTTAGAAATTCCATGAAACTTAATCTAAATGCACAATATAATATAAAAGGACATAGTACAGCCAGTGGTTAAATTCAAAAGAATTATTTTTAGGTATAATTTAAAGAATGCTATTTTCGTAAGATTATTCACTTTAAAAATTGTTTGAAGGTTCTTATCTTTTCTGACCTTTACAAACTAATGCAGCATAAAATCGTGAAGGAATATAAAGTAGTATATTTATACAAACAAATATTTCACGTATAAAATTACACAAATCATACACTTAAAGTATTTCTCTAACAAAATATATTGCCCGTGTATTAGGGATTAAGCTAAAGGATGTAATATAATCCAAGCTAGTAGCCATTAAACGGAGCGGAGCCATGCACTCAGATTTAATTTGATTTTTGCATTTAGGTCAACCGACAACAGTGTGCGGAGATCGCTTGTTTTATTTTGTAAAGCTGTTATAGCAAATAAATATTGTAATTCCATAATGTTGTAGATGACCATAACATTCGGAAAAATTTGCAATGTAGAAAAATATATTTTTTTTATTTCCAACAAAAAAATAGGGAATCAGCTGGTGTCGAGGACAACATGTTCCTCCCTTCACATGCAATAGAAGTTGTCATCACTAGGAGCGATTATAAAAAGTCCTCATCAATGTTTACATATTCTTGTTTACAAACATAACCTAAAATATCATGCAATTAGCAAATTTTGCGGTTAGCGAACCGATAAATCTAACATATGTTTTTTTCTGTTTCCTAGATGAAGTAACCCAAAAACAACGATTTTGCAGACGATGTAGAGAATTAAAAATGGCTGTTCTCCGGACAGTGTGATGAAAACTACTATTTCATCACACTGCACCGAAAATAGCTGTTTTCAATAAACGCGTTGCAGGTCAAAGTAGCTCTTTTCTCCCGAAAAATCAGTAGGAGTCGATGACGTACGTAGGACACTTTACTCACTCATTAAATTCGATTGTAATCAATCGGTTGTATCGAATGGAACTGTTATATCTATCAAAGTTATCAATTGTTTTTAGTTAATCGATTTATTGTTTTGACCAATTTCGCATTGTTTGCGTTGAATCTAAGAAGTTCGATGACACTGGAAAGCAGTTTCCGCTGAAAGCCCGAGCAATTCAAGAAACTAATGATACAATCATAGTTCTGCATATCGATATCTGTGTACACAAATACAATCGTAATAGACTAAACGTATAGACTCAACGACCTCACTAAACAAATGCTTGTTCACAATACCAAAATTGAAAACAAGTTGGAAGTTATTTGGGAGATTTTGTTTACGAGAAAAGGATTTTAGTTTTGTAGCTTAGTTTTAGAAAATAATGGCGTAATATGACGAAAAATGTAGCTCATCACTAGGGCAAATAGTGTCTTTTCAACCCGCGCTCATTTTCCACAAAATTGACCTTTTGTTGGAAAAGAGTCACGTTACGCCTTGACAAAGTATTAGTTGGTTGCTATTATAGTGTTGGCTAGTTCTTGAATTGTTATAGGTTTTTAAACGATTCATTCACTTTGAAAGTGACAAGATGGGAGACAGAAAATGCGCAATAGATAGATTCAAAAATGTATATTTAATATATTTTTTATCTTGATCGGTGATCTATTTTACCCCGAGTAGGTAGCGTAATTGCCATCTTTGGCGTCACCCCCGGACTCAATCAAACAGATATTTAGGTTGTCCCGTGGTCGAAACCTCTACCAAAAATATATGTATTGTGCAAACTTCTCTATTTTCACCCCACGATGTAAATAAAAAAAGCGATTAGAATTGCTTCCGTTTGCTTTGATTTTCTGTTTATATTTCGTTTATAATTTCGTCACGAGCATGGGAACCTTTCAGGCTCATGTTAAATTTTAAATTTAAATTAATATTTTTTCTCATTTTTGAACCTGTTTTAATTTACAACGGGATTCTGCACATCCACAGGATAATATCTTTATAACAGTTTGCGTGAATTTTCCCTGCGATGCACACGAGCTGAGAAAAAATGGTTTTCAAAAAACATACTTGACTATTGGAATTCGTAATCGTCCCTATTACAAAATTATATTTTAAATGTCATATGTCTCAATCGTAACTGATTTATTAGGTAATGTTGATAATGTTAATACTCAGAGTGTGCCTAAACGACCTTCGATCTTGCAACTTTGATAATAACTTATCATTGATACAAGTTTGCTGACCATGCATTTAGGAAGTACACTTGCATTAGTTTATCTTAATGGCAGATATCTTAAAACGAAGCAGAAAATGTTAAAATGCAGTTTTGAGGTTCCGAACGAATATAGTCAGTAAATAATTTAAGAACTTTATGCAAATTTTTACGATTGGTTTGATTTTAAAAGTGATAATTATTGATAGATGTACATTATGTGAAGTTATTGAACGTGTATGAATTTAGTACAGCGTAGTTTCTGTATAGAATAATTAGTATCAATTTTTACTTGGTCATTAGAGTTAATTTGCGTTTCAATATTTAGACAAATACAAAATTTAAGATATTTTAGCAGTTTTGGGGAATTTACCATGTAGAGAATAGGCTCTTAACTTAAGTATCATAAAAGGACCTAGACCCGCGGCTGATGCACTTCTTAGTATTAATAACCCCAAAGGCAAAAACCACCATCCGATCAAATTCATCTATAGGTAGAATAAGGCTAAGCTAGTCAGGTTTCACCTAATTTAGCTTTTTTTTACTTAAATCGTTAGTACATTTAAGCAATTTTTCATTGATTTTTTTTAAATTGATGTAATTTAATAGGCCAAACGCCTTAATAAATTGCTGAACTGTTTTCATGATATCAGCGATTTTTTAGTAATTTTAAAATGTCTGCCTTTTTACATTTTTAATTGAACTAATTTAACTTTTTCCAAGGTTTTGGACACCTTCTCCAGTCATATAGATAGGTTAGAACAATCCAATGATGAAAATGATAACGTAACAAATACAAAATGGCAGTTAACAAAACCATTATAGAAAAAAATATTCTTGACTTTCTCTCTTTTTTCCATAAACAATGTGCATTCGTTTGCCTGTTTACTTACAAGACACTGTATATTTGAATAAATAAAATGCATTTAATTTAGAATACACTATACTTACAATTTTACAATAATTAGTATTACTTTTTATTATTACTTTTTTCCGAAGTTTTGGCGGATTATTTTTGTATGTCAAAAGTATTTCACGCTGCAGAGTATCAGTGTAGAACTTCTAGTTAGTGTCATATGAGTATATGGGCTTAAAATCAACCTGCATGTGTTAAATACTACACTGCGTTTACTGAACCAAATTGGTCCAATACACATTATTACGATCCAAATTTAGAATAACTACAAAACATTAAATAATTCTTGACCTATATTCTTTAGACTGTATGTTGGTACATCCACTAGCTAGAGACACTCTATTTCTACTTGACAACTTAGTCTCGTTTATAGCGCGCGTAAAGGCGTACCAAAGGTTATTTACACTTTGACAGGTCGCAATAAAACACTTTGATAGTTATGTGTTTAACTGTGCAGCCCTGTAACACTTGCACAATACGGCTGTATTCCGGTCACTTGTGAAAAAAAACAGGCTGATCACTTGTGTTGCGGGTCACACACAGAAAGAAGTTCATTGTCAAAGATAGTCCACCATAACCGCTTCTAGTAAAAAATCCAACTGTGCGTAATTAAATCCCATTTGATGAAGCGGGCGGTAAAGAGATGTTTTCGGACTAGTCATTAAGTGGAAAACAGTGTAGTGTGGCGAAAAGTAAATATTCTGACACATCAAAAGAAAAATATACAGTTGCTTTGCTTGGTACAAATTAGGAAATTGTGTATCACCTACTCACAACTTGTGCTTGTAAGTTGGTTTACTCAAGAAAAAGTAAACTGCAAAACAATGCATCTACTGATATTTATTCAATATTTTAAGTTTAATTGAATACAGCCCAATAGTTAAATTATCAAAACCTAATATTTTTACGGGAATTTTCTCATTATGGCCCTTTAATTCAAGTATTAGGTATGCGGATTGTCAAAAGTTCCTGTTCCTTATTAGCTTTATGTATTGCGATTGTGAGTTTTCTAACTATTTCGCGAAAAACACAATTGTTAATGTAGAAAATGTCTTAGTACGGGCTTACAACTTCTAAATAGTTAGTATAAAAGATATTTTAGTAGAAAGAGGTTTTAGATGCTATAGTGTAAATTTTGAGTGATTTCATTTCTTTGACTACTTAATTCGCAACTTGGCCAAAGAGTAATGAACATACAGAAGACGGTGGTTCAGTGGTAGTAGTAGTAGTATCTTATCTTTTACGTTTCACACCCGCGCTGGTGCGTGTCATGTTATCATCAGTGCAGACGTGTGCACAATCTGATCCATGCAGACTCTAGCCTGTCCTAGTCACTTCACTACATAGACCGTTATTACAAGTTAATATAAACAATGTACGGAATTTGTGTTTGGCATCAAACTGAGAATCTATTATAGTTTGTTTGGTTTTAATAAAATTCTACCTCTGAAGGCAAATTTGACAGTCCAGGGTCTAGTCTAACTTACTATGAGACCTACGGTAATAGCTTTATACCTTATATAGAAAATTAACCAAAATTGACTGTAGAATGGATAATAATTTATTTTGCAGCATTGCTACAGAATTTATACATGCTTTTTAGCGTTGATAAAATAAGCAGAATAACTGGGTAGCTGGACCATGTCTCAGACCACCAAAGCTACTAGCTTTTCTCAATATTGAATCGCAATCCTCCTGTTTAAATATGATGAACTTTCATAAAGTCAATCCATGTTGAATTCAGAAGATAAAAGTCACTTTAAATTAGGAAAGTAATAATTTAGTAAGGCTAGAAATAAGTGAATATAAATAATTATTAGCTGCATTTAGCTGAGCTAATATGATGCATGACAAAATTGAATGTTTGTTCTATAAATGAAGTAAGATCCGACAGTAACAAGGAATCACAGTTCTATGCAAGGAATCTGTAAAAGCTGCTGCAGAGGCAGCTAGTAATGTATTAAAGAGTTTTCAGTATTTTGAGTAATTAACAGAATCACAGTAAGGTAAAGCACACATATAGGTAGTTATTTTTACAACTATTTTGTACTTCTTTATAACGGTTTAGTATTGCAAAACATTTAGAAATAATGAACAAATTCAAAAATATACTTTTATTATTTTTTCCATTAAGACTAATCAATATTTACTTCTCGCCTTATTATCTTAGCAGTTTGTATGCCGGAGGGGCAGAGCCCCAGGTCGATATCGAAACAGGAGACGTATTTATTCATTTAAAACACAAAGTAAAACATGTCGGATGAATAGTTGGTTGTCCAGGTCCAGTTTGTTAGCACAATAGTCCGAATTAAAAAAAAAAAAAAAAAAAAAAAAAAACTATCAAATAATAATTATGAATTGTAATTTTTTTACGTATGAAGTAATGCCATGTCATGTATATAATACGTAACGTATATAATGCTTTACGTCTCACGTGCAAAAATAACAGTTGTTGTAATACAAGCCCGTCATAAGTCAGCAGCAAAGGTGAAGCCTCTCCATAAACATGTATGTATATCGGCTACTGAATGGTATGTCGCTCGGCATTCAACAAACATTGTAAATCTGTGGCAGCCTCGTGTACTGCAAAATTATCTTTGAGCTTAAAACGACTAAATAAGTCAGCTGTATGACTGTCATGAATAGTAAAATCTTATCACAGCTGAAAAGATGAGGAGGTTACAGTGCTCACTTAGTAATAAAATAGTCACCGGTTCGATTGTGAGATAATTATAGCTTTTTGATCTTTCAAAACAGTACCCAGCAGTAGGCCTACATAATGAGCAGTACTTGATCTTTGGGCTTTCAATAAATGGTTCTTGCTCGTCAGATGGATCATCAAATTAACGAAGAAAACGGTACGTGAACAATAAACGTATCAACGGTTAACCTCAACCATCAACCATGAACAAGAGACCTTGAATTGATGATGACAACAAACTTTTCAACAGTTCCTCCAGACACAGCAAGCAGCATTTATTAAAAGCACAATGATCAAGTACTGCTTCATAAAGCTTTATAAGAAACTATTTAATTCTTAGAATTTCATTAGACAGCCAGTCTTGGTCAGAAACTAAGCTACAGAAGGCATCTCGCTTGATTCTACACTCATCCTTCACTCATATTAAAATACGCAGGTGGCATCCACATCTCAATTGGTAATATAATTGAAACGATATTAAATCAATGAGACACACTTATGTAACATACGTGCTATTAGCTTGGTATTGGATTAATAGTCAAGTAGTAGGTTACCACGTGTATTGGGGCTGAATAGTGAAAAAGAGCTTTTAAAAAACCCAACGAGCTGAACACGGTCCCTATTCTAATGTTTATTTCATCTCTATGATATTTTAGAACGAATATATGAGTAGCAAATTTCGGTGTATGAGTGTTGAGTTTACACGGCTCTACTATAAGATTTGATATAGTTCAGTCAAAATTTAACTCAATTTGGTTACAATTAGTGGGAGTCTACTAATACATAGAAAGTTTTCCTCAGTTTAAATAATAAGGTTTTTTTTTTAAGATGGACATGCAATAAAAGACGGGTGTCAAACTGACGTTCATAACATTATCAGATACCTAAATTCTATTTAACCAACTTGAATTCGGCAATCCATGAGAGATATATAGTTGTCTAACTTAGAACTTGCTTTGAAGAGAATCAATAGTGGTCGATCGTTCAATACTTAGATTTCTAATATGTCATTGATCCCATCATAAGAAAAACGGTTATAAAATTGCCCTTAAAATCACCCATTCCCCTTTATTTTCTACTGAAAAGACCATGACCTAACAGGAGCTATAAGATTGATTTGTACCATTAAAGTACATTTAAATTTAGTGATACTGATGGTAAACAAAAACCTATTTTTATAATAATATGCAAATAATTAAATGATCATCTTATTTATTTGAAGATTTTATAATAAAATTGTGTTCACCGAATATTTACACTTACATTTTTATGTTTGTCATACTTTCGGATTACTCAAACAAAGTAAGTACAGTAAAAGGGATGATGTTTTACCTAAATTTACGATGTGCGAGAGGTTTTTATTTATTTAAATATATAGCATTAATTGACGTTTGTTACAAAAATACTGGAAAAGCCAATTTTATTTCTATTGAATTATCTTTCAAAAAATTACTCAGCACAGTTTAAAAAAATATATTTATGTTAAAAATCAATAAAATGCAAAAGGTTTTCAAATAAAAGTTTTTAAGTGCAAACATATAAAATTTTTTTACAAAAACCCTAGTATTTTTCTAGCTAGAAACTAAAGTAAAAATAAATTCAAAACATACCACAGACATTTAAAACACTTAAGCGGTTGAAAAATTATAATTAATGATTAATTAAACTAATAACTAATGTGTATTTTGACTTACCAAAATAGTCATCTATCAATGGCACTGTTTTAGTTTAGACTTTATCCACTGTTGACAAACACCACTTAATAAACACTGACACATTGGGTGTGATATGCCTTGAAAAGATTGTATAATACTGTAGAGAAAACAATGGTTACATAATATACACCGGGTTGTCTGTCTGCATATAATGATTACTCAATTTCATTCAGTACATCGCACTACTACTAGGCCTATCATAGTAACTGACTGTTGACTAACTACACTACTTTGTACAGTGGCGGTGTCTAGTGTGTGCTGAGATGACTAACACCGCATACCCAGCCATAACAAAACTACGTCAAACTCGCCACAGTCATTCAGTAGTCGTTCGAGTAACAGTAGTATTCATATTGGACGTGAGAGGCAGATCCCTCCACGTATTTCATTGATGGTAGGTAGTTTCCGGGATTGTGTTGCCCCCTGTCACAATTTGGGATGATGTATATACAACTTTGCATTTCATATGAGCTGAAGTACCCCCTACAAGAGTAAAAGCTCACTCCTTACACACCTTCTAAAATGGTTGCATCAGACACCATGTAGTCTTATTGGCGAAATATCAGGCAATTAGCCTAAATATTTGAACGTGGACGTTTAGAAAGCATCTGCATTGATGCAGGTTTGTATGATATAGATCCACTATGCAGAAAGTGCGTCAGGACAGGGAAGAATACAGTACTGATCGCTGATGACATGTTTTTCGACTATAAGAAGCTCCTTAAGGTAAGGAGGACAGCTCTTGACAAGAAAAATAAGTAAGGGGAAGTAAAATACCTAAGGAGGAACCAATAGATAGAAATCCGGTATTCGCCAGGTGACAGGGCATTGCAGACATAGGATGTGCAAAAAAACTCAGTATGGAGACCTAAACAAAGCATAACCGTCTATCTTAAATTGGCTCAGACTCTAATCTTCCAACCCTAGACATTCAGCCCAACATTACCTTACCTAAATCATGATTCATGAGTGTGGCAGATTGGGTAAAAATATATAAAAATATATAACCATACGATCCACGAAGTCAAAGGTGATACTGCACTACGGCCGTTAACGGAGATAACTCCATCTTTGGGCGCGTAGAGGTACAATAAACACAATATTTGTTCACACATTACTACTAATTAACGACGGACACACGATGATACACAAAAACATTTAGAGCACTATGTTAGCTATGTTTTGTTGCACGGCTTAAAAACCGACGACCGACTGTTCAATCATGGTCAATTTGAGACGGTGTTGGATTTCATTATGGCTCTTGTGCCCTTTAAATCTGGCCTATTTAAACTCTTACCAGTCTGGCCAATGTAATAGGAGTTGCACTCTCCACTCTTAATCGTGTAAATCCCTTGCTTTTCTATAATATTATCCAGTATTATCCAATATTATATTTATAATATCGGTGTTTTTCTGCATCGTGGAGCTGACAGCTGACGTTGAAGCTGTGATTGTCTCTAAATCACTGATTTCCTTTAGAACATAAACATGGTGCTTTGTACAAGAAATCGTTTGTTGGTCACACACTTGCTCTCAAATTTACATTTTTTTAAAATCATTATTAAAGCATCCGAGTTTGAACAGAACACAAGGGCAGTAAACAAATATTTCATACTATTGCTAACAGCATATTTATTAACTCTTTAAAGTAGGTCGTAGTAAAATTGTTTTTTTAACAATAGACTATAACTCATATATTAATTTATAGGTTAGGATATTTAAAAAAAGTAAAGTAATTACTTTTTCATTGATGTCGATAAAGAGAGATGGAATGAAGTAGAGAAGACCACCTCAATATCTTCCTTGTAACAATCTTCGCTCTCTTTCTATTTCCATCTCTGGACTTTTAATGGCTGACATCTTTATCTTGGTGATATTCAGTTATATTGTATGTCAAAAAAAATATAATGTTTAGGATATCTTTTGACAAAACAAATATCGCCTTTTAGCGAATTTCCCTATAGGGAAGTAGCTATTACCGTAGGTGGCACGGTAAGACCTAGACCCGGGACCGATTTACTTTTTCATTTTGATGTTCCCAGAGGCCAAAAACACCATTCGTTCAAATTTTTATATATGTATATATATATATATATATATATATATATATATATATATATACGTCCGTGAACGCGATAGCTTGAGTAATTTTTGTCCGATTTTGATGAAATTTGGTTTAAAGGTGTAAAGCGGGATAAACTTGAATGAGTTCGCAAACCAGCATGATTGGACCATGGGAACGGGGCTTTACGGGGGGTTTTAAGGGGTAAAAATTGGTTTTTCTCACTTTTGACCCTCAAAACACCAAATTTCCCAATTTCTCTTTAGACCTTTTTAAAGAGCTTAAAAAAACAATTAATTTAGTATATAAAGTATTTTTGTTCGGTTAATAGTAACGGAGAAAATTAAAAAAATTGTAAATTTAAAATTCCCATGTTATTCTTATGGAGAATATTGTCAAATGTTGTAGTTTGCTTGTTTATGGATATATTTTGTATTTTGATCAAATGAATTATTTTGTACTAAGCTATCAATATTTTACAAAAAAACACACTTTATTAGTTTCCTTGTAGCAGCAAACCTAGGTACTGGTTAAACCTAATGTTATGAAAATATATTTTATTGAAAATCAATTAAGACAAATGGAAATTTGCTTAGTCGGCAGGTTTGCTGCGGCGGGGGTATTTATTAACATTTTTAAAAAGCGAATCGGGTCCGTACAAATGATACGAATTGTCTTTGGAAGGTATACTTTGTGAGACTTTTATTTGCAAAAAGGATTTTAGGCAAAACGAAAACTATGATTTTTGTTATTTGGTAGAGAAAACAACACATGATATACAAATTTAAGTTTCTGTTAACAATTGAAAATAAACAAATATTGCAATTTGTATGTGTCGTGTAAGGAGTGACTTAACAAATATTGTAGCTGAATGTTTTGGTTTGTATTGTGTAACTGTTATTTTAAAAACGATTTATTTAAGGATTTGAAAATGATCATTTTCTTAAAAGCAGGATAAAGTACTTCCAAATATAGTATATGTTGGTTGGCTAAGTAACAAAGAAAAACATGTTTAAGACACAATATGATTGTATACACTATACACACAATAAAAATTATAGTCTTGACTTGACAATTTGCATTATTATTTACTTGGAATGGAATAATTGGTATATTTAATTCTACATGTTTATACTCTTTGCTATGAGCTGCTGTTGAGTGTTTTAACAGTTACGAAAGATTGAAAAATAAAAACATGTCAAATGAATACAAAACGTTCAAACAATGGGACCACTAAACAAAAGACACTTGAGAGTCAACACTTCACTCATTTCGCTTACTGAGAGAAGAGTGAATGGTTTCAAAGTGAGGATTGTTTATTATAAAATTCCTGACGCGCGCTACAATGGGACTAGCGCTGAATACGCGACGTTTTCATCAAAAAAGGTCAAACGGAGTATTTGTATGATATTGTCGTTACTTCAATATTAAAAGGGAAACGCAACTGTTTTTGGATTCATTCGAAATTAAAAACAGTTAATCTAGAAATATGTTTTAATCCATATTATATAACGTTGTGGTGTTAAAAACTTGATTTATGTTCGGATGATCCCTAGACTAATGTTATTCTATACAATAAAATTAATATTTTTATAGTACTTATGTAATAATTTAATCGATTAGCTATACATATCGAGTAGAGAGGTGCGATGTCGTAGCTGAATGACAGAAGGGTTGTAGTTGTTGATCCTGAGAATATATTTTATATATAGGGGGTTTGTGCTTACAAACTGGACAAAACTATCCAGGTTTGGACTCTGTGATAAATAGTTCTGGTAAAAAAAAAAAAACTGCTTATCCCTTCCAGTAACAATGATTTCAACTAACGAATTCAGTACTCATCCTTCTCTCAATTTATTTTTAAATTACACATTCTGGTGAGTTGGAGTCGTTAAAATGATAATGATGAACTGACTATATTTTCATTATTAGGGAATTGGCTAGCTGCTTCTTAAAGAACGATTTAGGAATAAATAGGTGCGTAAATAGTTTATTAGTTAAGGTAAACAATCGTGTGGGAGTTCATGGTTTTCCTACCACCTATGGCTTTTAGTTGAGTATTGTAACGTGGTGGATGAGACAACTAAAGCTATTTTGTTTGTTTACCAACCAAACAAATAATTGGTGTGTCAGGCAACATGACATCTTTCTGTTGTGGATTACCACCTCCGGTTTGAGCCCATTCCAGGACCAACACGAACTGAATCAACTGTATCAGTAAATACTTCCTCCCATTGTCAACCACCATTGTAAGAGGTTAGAGAAACTGTGATATTTTACAGGGGAAATCGCAGAATTTTTAACAACTTATAAAAAGTGATTTTTCAGCGTTGGGCATTGTACCGTTTTGTTTAGAGTCCATTATACTAAATAAGAATCAAAATCGTTCGAGCAGTATTTGTGAAATAAATATTTTCTGCTGTTGTGTGGGATTTTAAGAAAAACGACGAACCAAAGATCTAAATTTTAAAAAGTGGAAAAAGCACGCGGAGTAACTACGGATATATAATAACCCGCATACCAAGTTTAATCTTGGTAAAGTAGTTAATCGAGTAAACTAGGTATTACGTTAAACCCTAAAAAGTGTATTCCACTATGAACTGTAAGTCCCTTCGTTTCCATTGGCTGTATGGGATATTAATTAACAGTAATGTCTAAGGAATATGTGAGCCTTAGTCCCTAACAAGACTACAAGATCGTGCCACTCATCATACGCTCATATCCATTCATACTTGGCTTAAAATACCTACGTTCGTATGGTTGCCATTATAAAGTAAAGTATTTAAGAATTAAGGTATTTAAATTTGTTTGTAACAAGGATCGCAATGGTGACCTTCGATCTTAGATTTGTAGCCTTTAAACAGATTATTTACTCAAAATTGAGAAGGTGTAATAGAAGTTTTCATAAAGTTATTGATGATTATCCAAACTTAGAATTCAGTTTATATGAAACCAATGATGGAAACCATGATGGAATTCAGCAGAAAGTCCAAACATTTTTATTTTGTACATAAGTAAGATGTTTTCTGATAGGATGGTTTGATAGCAACCATTTCAATACTGACAAGGTTAAGTCAACACTAGATGGATCAATATCGATAAAGTCAGGAATCGAGTCAAGTCAACGGTAAAACTTCACATCTTCCTTTTATATTTTAAATGAACCTCCCAGTTATTTCAATGCTTTATCTATATCGTTATTTGTTTACGTCAACCTTGATTTTAGATTCTTCCATAAATCCGTTGCTTTGCAATAACTAGTGTGTTATTGAATGGTATAAAATTTACCCATTTCAGGATGACACGGTGCGTTCTTTCAACCTTATAAAAGACTTTAAACAAATTATTAACAGGTAAACACTTGTCTTGCATTATGTCAAAACTTACAAAATAAATTAATAAATCTCATTATGTTAAATATTTCACCATTATTTGCAATACTAGTATTAAAAACGTCCATGCAATTATAACCAAACAATAAAATGTGATTTAATGATGGTGTATTGTTCGACGAAATTAATTAATTTGACGACTCAAAGTGATTGATTGCTTTTCATGATTGTCAATAAAACCATCCCGTAATCAATTGTCGGAAGAATTTTATTGTTGATACTAAAACTGTACAAGTACTGGCCAATCCAATTAGGAAATCGGTTTGGACCCAGTTTTATTTCATACTAAGAAACTGGGATCGCCACTTAAGTTTATGAACCTAAGTAGTTTTTACCGTTTTATGAATCTAATAGTATTTTAGAAAATTAGTGCATGTTATTTATATGTGCGTAATAAATGGTTTTATTACGGTTTACTGTGAGTATAACATTACATTGATTTTACGAGGATAGTTTGCGTTGTTTAGGCACTAGCCCGTTTCAATGGCTTCTCCATCTCTTAAATAACAAAATAAAGAACAAATTGAATACAATTATGATAGCTTTTATCATAGAGTATTTTTTAATTATTGAGTAAATTTTTACGTGGTAGTAAGATTATCAGTATTTTAGTAAGTTAGAGATACAAGATAAACTGAGAACTATGTCCTAGCAAATCTGCAGCTAACTGGAATAAATTAGAATTTAGTTATCCATACTGTATTCTGTACATTTGAATGGCTGGTAACCAGAGCAATTATAGTGCTCGGCTGGTAATAGCTTCAGTATCCAATAGTCAGTGGGAAGCTTTTTGTTGTTTCGAAACTGAGCTCAGCTGTACCTAATCATTGGGATTTCAATCATAACTTTAGTTAGTGAGCAACAAAGCTACACAGATCTTCTACACTCAACATTCATTTACATTATACTTAAAAGAAGATTTTTGAAATTTCATACAATCAAGTTTCAATAGATAAATACACAACCTTTGAGTTAATTAATTTATCAACACTCTGGAAAACACCTCCGTGTTTATGATCATTAAGAGAAAGGTGGTGTTTGAGATCGATATGAGCCTTTTTACTAATTAAGATCAGCTGTTCTCCAGCTGGGACAATTAAACGCACAACCATATAGAGCTTCAATATATTTGATATTTTTTATTATATTTATTTATATTTGTTAGATATATTTTCAATATATTATTTAAAACTCATATTTTGTCAATATGATACAGGAAATTTTTTTCGACAATCTATTAAGTGAAAATGTGTAGGTGATAACAAGTATATAATCTATCTATCACTCAAATCTTTACTCGCTATTCACTTTTTATTTATTTATTTATTTATTTATCCATATACGGTAAACACCATTTTACATTGTACATACATTGCAATTTTTTTTACAGATGGCCAAAAAAAAAGATATACTACTAAAATGATCAGCTATCTACTACCTACACTTAGAATTAACGAAACAAAGTTGAAAAAATAAATGTGTAAAAATAAATGAAACTTGTGTTTAGTAATAGTATAATTTGTTAGGTGAAAATTTAATTAGCTCATGTATTGAATGTACATTTTAGTTAACTGCGCACATTATTTGGGTAGTTAATTATACTAATTAAACTTACCAAAAGCTTAAACCGGTAAATATTTCCGCTTTAATTAGGTTTAATGAGTGGACAGAAAAAACAGCCTCATTTGAAACTAACAGGTAACCATATAACTATATTTAATAAAGAAAAGGTATTATACAATAAATAAGGTCAGAATTCCTAATCGACGGTAAGCTGCCTGAACGATCCGTTTTCCCCAAAGTCTGTCACTGAAAACTTCTTCTTGCCCAGTCTCTTGCGTTCGTCTGTCTTCAGCGAATCACAGAGCGCGAAGAATTCCGCACTCTGCTCGAACTTGTCCATCCAAAACTCTGGAAAATATACATTTCATAGCATATTTGTTTATCTTACACACACTTACTGTGACTTCAGATACTGCTAGTAGACATTAACGTTTATGAAATTTGATGCTCTTTTGTGTGATTCATGGTTTTGATTTTAACTTTCAAAGATTGCCTCGTAGCTAGAATAAAATGCAACATTAAAGAAAACCTTAAACACAATTGTTGGGTTAATAAAACAACTTATGTACAGTGTTTAAACTATGTTGTTTGTATATCAAACCCATAAAACGTGATTCCGTACCCCAAACAGGTTACAACTATCATTACAAGTAGCCCTTGTCATTAATTTGTATTAACTAACCCGTTTTATCTCTTGTTACAATAATTTGACTATGGTTAAATATTCAACAGAAGGCGTTTCATCTGTTATATTATAATTCTCATAAAACCCGGTATTAAGCTAGTTCAGCAACACCTGGATCGTTGAAGCCATCCTCTAGATATAAATCAAAGGCCAGGGGATCGAAGCCCATTATAAAATAGGATTTAACTAACATTCGTCAGTGCGCAACATTATAAGCATAAAAATAGCTTATTCCCTATATGGGAAATTCGCTAATAACACCTCATTCAATAAAAAGGGATAGTACGGACGGAAAAGGGATGTAACAGAAAAAACCCTTATAGTATTGAAATTTTTTCTTAGCCTATTCATTGCAACAAGATATCGGGAAAAAATAAACACTAATATATTTAAATAAGTCAATTAATTAATTAATTAAGAAAGACTTTTAGTTGCGACTTTTCAAACGAATCTCTTTTTTTTTGGGTGATTAAAAATAACTTATAAATATCTTAAATACATTTGAAGTAATTAATTAATCTAAACATTTTTATTGCAAATCCTTCCAAAACACAAAAACTAACGTAAGTCATTTTCTTCTTTACATTTTATACACAATATATTTTACTTTAAATCGATAAAACATCACCAAATGTAACGATAACCCCATGTTAGTATGGAAATCAATACCCAATATGCTTATAAAAATGAATAAATATTCACCTAAATGACCTAAATAGGGGTCAATTTGCTGAATACAAAAATCCAACAAATTCTTTTGATAATACGTATAGGACATAACTGCTGTATTTTAACTCACGATTAAGATCGTCCACGCTAGAAGCATCTCCACCATAGTCTTTGGGAACGAGACGAGCTGGTAAAATGTCCAACAGCTGGGACGCGTCCTTGTAGGAGGTTACCTGTACAAACAAGTGGGGTATTTAAAATTTAATACATACCTAGTAGGAGTTTTCCAATTTTCCCTTAAATTTATGAATCAAACTGACCAACCTTCGGTAGCAATGTACTGTCAATTTACCCAAAATTAAGGTCAACATTTCCACAAAATTAACGAATATTTTAAAGTCGAATTCGCTCTAAATGAAATCATTACATGACGGAATCCAAGGGATAAATTTAAACAGTATGTGGTAATCTGCATAGAGAAGTGTGTCATTTAAAATTTTAATACACACAGAATACAACATAAGACGTCTTAGCATTTTAAGGTTTTATTTTTACAAGTATATTGCTTGGTGAAGTTTCAAGTTTGAAATTTAACTCGAGTAGCATTGACCATTTAGAAATAGTGCGGACTCGATTTAATAGAACCTCTCCAATTATACGGATTATGGATATAATTAAATTTGTGGTAGTGCTATAATGACGTGTGAAACTCGCTAGATTTTACTTTACTCTTAGTAATTAAAATTCTTACGGGTTCATTAAAATGGGATTATAGTAATTTGTACAGTAAACAAAAAGCAGACAAGAATAACAGTTTACCAATTAGCTTAATTGGCTAATTTAGTTTTGTTAAATATATATAATAGTTATTGTTTTCTGTTGTTTACGTAAAACTTATTTTTCAACTAATTGTTTATTCTAATATTCAAATCCTGAACAGATTGTATATTTTGTTGCGCCTTCAAACCATGTGTTTGCAGATCCGTTACAAATCTGACTGTGTTTGGACATCAACCAATACAAGGCGCTAGTAAACAGTAAACTATTCCTAGGCCATTGAAACATTGTAATTACGAAACTGTGTTTTAAAGTATTAAAATTAAATAACAAGAAAAATTAAGTTAAAATATGTAAGTAGTAACAGAGTACTATAAACTATTTTACATTCAAAATAGTCCAAAAAGTGTACAATAGGTTTCAAGATTCATATTTTATACTCATTTACATCGTGGGTAAATGCTAAAGTAAAACCTCTTTCAATTACCTTAACATTCACTTTCAGCATTTAACATTTACAATTTAAAGCGTTAATAGTTTTCTTTTGATTATGGTTTTCCAATGCCTCAAATATCCCACTTTTCATAAGGTCTGAGAAAAAAAGATATTTCAATAGATAAAAAAAACTTAAAAATGGACAATCTGATGAGACCTTTAACTTGAAATGTCAATATTCTATGCAACATACCCTGGCCATCAGCTTCGGTGAAATGAAGGGTCTGAAGATAGCGATCATCTTGTCTACGAAGTACGGGGTGTTGACCAGAGTAATCTTAGGTATCCTACAAGGGTAGGCTTTCTGTAACAAAAGTACTGCTTTCAATACTTTTAAGAATACCATATTCGAAAAACTATTCAAATTTATCAGTATTTTTGACAAAACTTAGTAGTTTGCAAAATTATGGTTGATTAATCAATGATATCAAACGTGCACATTTTAATTTATTCAGTTTGCCATAATTAATTATTAAGTTTCTTATTTGAATAGACCAAAATTAGGCCCAGAAGAAATTTACCATATGAGTTTGAGGCAAAACAATTTTTTTCTCATTTTAGCGAATTTCCAATATGGGAAATAAGCTATTAATAACTAATCTGTGTTGATCTCAATAAAATAAGAAGATTTTTGATTACTCGAAACTAAAGCTAGTTTTCCTTAATTTTTGGTCTTTAAGGAATGGTTCTGGCAAAGAGACCAAGTGTTGTGAGTAACTATTGTGAGTTGAGTTCCGAGAAGGTCCCTAATCCGCTGGGTATCATAACCAAACGGACGGACTATAACAAATCTATCATGATTGTCATTCTAACACTAATCTTTCACTGATCCTTCGCTCATCTTTGTCCTAAAACACGCAACCAGGTGACGTCATCGTATAGATCTAATCCTAATATATTCTAATCTTGTATTTGAATGAAGAATGGCAGCAGCTGTCTTATAGACCTGTAGATGAATAATCCACCCTACTATCTCAGATAAGACACACGGGAGTATATTTTAATCCGTGCTAGTATCCTCATATCAATGCTCAACCATGCTCAAGGTGAATAAACATGTAACTCTGTACTTTTCTCTCACTATATCGCCTCTCACATCTTTGTATCTCTCACCAATCAAAGTGACACCAGGAAATTCAAATTTCGAATTCGGCAAATCCAGTTTCCGTACTTGTAGATTGTAGACGGATCGGTTAGCATTGGCCTTGACCAACATTCCGGTTTAGCGGTGACAGAACCAGAACGCCTTTGGCTGTGGTGGTTATAGAGCCTGCCGGAATACTGACCTTCCGTGTATTTGCTATCTTCACCGGGGCCTCCGACTGGGGGTTGCTGGGTAAGATATGTGGTACTTTAAAAAATATTGTGTTTTCAGAACTAATTATGACATTTCGATGTTTGTTGTTCTCCAGAACTAATTATGACATTTCGATGTTTGTTGTTCTCCAGAACGAATTATGATACTGGTCTGTGGGTGTAAAATTGTCGTATACTGTGCCAAAGTGTCCTAATGGGTAACATAAGAGTTATCGTATGATTGCAGTAGTCTGAGAGATGGGTAGAAAGTTGGCTTTCCCTACAGTTAATTTACAAAGTGGGCTTTCTCGCATTGATTAAAGCACGCTAAGTTGCTACATTTACCTACTTTTTACGCACTCATTTTATGCCACACTTCTGTATTCCAAACAAACAACACAAAACAGTGTGCTTTTATGAGTCACGTAACAAGCGTACGATTGAAAAAAAAAAAATAAATAAATAAAAACGACTACGATTAGCTGGTGCAGTGTTTCCATTTTCGTTCAACGCCTAACTTAAAAACGTGTTGTATAGTTTGCGAGACTAATTTAATTATTTCTATGTTTTATAGTAACTCTAGGAAAAATATAATGTGTAAAGCAAAGTGCCACTTCGTACAATAGCTACACAGATAACTATTTAACTTTAAAAACGTGTCAAATTATAGTGGGTACAGAATTAATTAAGGTTTAACTTCTAGAGTTTTTTTCAGTGTTAGACAGAAAATTAGCGAATGGTTAGGAACCTCTACTAATGATATTTGGTTTCTTGTAGTTGTGGGTATATGTAGGAGGGCAAAGCTGATTTGATAATGAGATATCTCACTGGGTTACCTTGCTCTTGGAGGAGTCAAGAACACACGCAATACAAACCATTTATTACTCTAGTTCCGAAAAGAACTGTCCCTCCTGAATATTAAAACATTATTAAGCATTCTTCTGTGTATACTTTTTCAATGAAATTTTTAATTAGTTTTTATTTACATTATATACACTTTACGCTTAGCATGAAATATATTTATATTATAGCCCGTGGTAAAATAGTGTTCAACTAGTTTAGAAAATCTACGGTAGGCTAATTTTATAGAATTACTATTATTAATCTAATTCATTTGGTTAGAGCACTAACTCAACAACTATGGCATAGCTATGAGTTTCAATAACCAATATTGTTAGTGGCAACAAGATTTAAGTTCGTTTGAAAACAACGTTTTAAAATTTGTTAAAACAAAAATTTTGAAACTTTTAAGAAACACTGAGGAGTCTTATTGAACAAAATTCAAACATAATTTTTCGAAGAAAAGGGACGGTGCCATTAATGTGTTTATGACTCTGTACTGCATCTGCTAAATGACTGCATGATCCGATCATAACCGGAATCAACATAGATCAAACAAAGTATTTTCTCTTGTGGATTCAATTAGGACCCAAGACTGTACATTCTTGTGTATGTATATTATTTCTTCAATATATTTATAGACATAGTATTCCCTGGTCAAATTACTAAATATATTGTATGGGTATATTTATTTTTTAATGTGCTCACTACTTTACAATATGAATTAAATTGAATACGTGCCTAATATTATTTAATATCGCTTATATTCAACTTAAAACAGCTCAATATTATATTTTTACAAATCCCTATAACTTTATTGTAATAGAAGTTCGCATATATTATTTAATGATAATGTCCTTTGGAAGAAATTCTGCCATAGTCTTAAAGTGTCTGATATCCAGAAGAATCAACACCAAGTTAATTGTTTAAGAGTTAAGAGTTCGACTCAAACTTTACTGTGTTTATTGGCTACTGCAATACCGTCATTCTACAAAAGTGTGTACAAACATGTTACAAATGTGACTGGCGTGTCGAGTTGTTGGCAAGAGAGGAAATTTCCACAGAACCGGTTGTTCGGCCCGCGTGTCGTCGTGAACCATTTCGGCCAAATACCAGACCACGGACCAAATCTGACTGTAGTGTACTCTGTAGTACATGAGCTGTATTCCTGGTCTCACTAGTTTTGGATCTTCTCGTACTAGGATGCTAGGGCCTAGTCCTGAACCGAATTACATATTACTTCAGACTAAGCCTAGAGGTCTGCGGCATCATCACTTCGATAACGTCCACTGACGGGATTTGAACGCTCTACCACTAGACCAGCTTGCTTCCAATGTTTCATTATTGCTGATATATCCCACTCTTTTCCTGTAATAATTAAAGGAATTTTAAGAGAGGGTCGTAGAATGGTGTCCTCATTACCGATCTTTTTTACCATATGGACAGCTTTCTTAGCCACGTGGGTGATTCTATAAATTATTAAAAATCATCGTGTGGCCAAGCGAGTTAATCTCATAGCCTAATGCCACAATTCTCATTATAGTAAAAAAAAAAAAAAAAAACTAAAATGGGTCAAAGAATTAAGCTGATTTGATAATGTTGTCCATTACTTGCTTGGAAATTATAAAAGATAGAGAATTTTCGTCGAATCAGTGTTTATCTAACCCATATACCTCATTCGTTATTCTTTACTAATGTATGAGTTTATGAGAAGGGGTCTTTACCAATATGAGAGTTCAATTCAATTTAACCACAACGTTTCCTCTACAGACGAGTGTTCAGCTACAAGTCATTCTTAGCTACGTTCAAGCTCTGGACATTCTTGAACGTTGTTTTTGTCAGTCCAAATAGACCTCGGGGCTGTGCGTGGAAGGAACAGGAAATCAAGGTGTGAGCCGGTAGATAACATTTAAGTGGTGAGTTACAGTAGATGCGAACTTACAGCGTCTGATTTGAATTCGCAGTCCGCCACGATTATAACTAAAGCACTATTGTTACAATTGTTGTTCTAAATTAATGTATACGTGAGAGACTGATGTTACACTCTGTATAATCGCAATTAAAAATATCTGCTCTGATTCAGACCAAGTTCCAAGGACGACTTGTTGCTGTTAATCCTAGTGTATCGGTCAGATGCGGGGTCGTCTACATTTTTTGTACCGTTTCCGATAGGAAATATCCATGTGGTAAATATAAGTGTAAAATTGGTGGTAGATGTGTACGAATCAATTATATTTATTATTTATATACATTACCTTACATAATTGAGGTTCTCTTTTTTTGCATTTTTTCATGATATGAATTATGTTATGTATTTATGTTGGTTAAGCAATCGTAAACCGGTTTGCCGTTAAGTGTGAACACTTTTTAAGAATACCATTTACATTCACGTGAAACATTATGCTATCCCCGGATATGACCATGTTACAATAAGGACATTGACAATTTCTTTGCATCAATTTGAATTCGTTCTGAAATTTAGGGTTACGTTGCAATATGATGAAAAAGTGCATCCACCACCTAGTGATAACTAGCTATTTGGGATAAGCCAATAAGGTATTGAATGATGAAATTATGCTTCAAATTAAAACTATTAAAAACAAACATATAACTATTGAGGTGTTTCAGACAGGGTACTTTCAATTACATTTTGCATACGTATAGGTTAGATTTTTGGTTACGTGTGTAATATCTCCAACCATAAACCAGAAATATATTTTTAACCTTCCAGTCGAAAAAGTATTATCGATTGATTTCGAAAAACCGAGGAATGTTTCAGTATCGCTTTGGAATGAACAAGTTATATGCTTTACACACATTATTTATATACATATTGAGATGTTCAAAGCAGATTGTTGTAGATTATTCTTCGATTTCCACCTTAACGAAAAGGTATATTTTAACACTTATGGATGTTTCAATGTAGCTTATATAATAATCTGGTTGCCTCAAATTCCCTCGCTAATATCAAATTTCCAAGCAGATTTCTCTACTTCCCCAGTTATACATTCCCCACTACTCACCATTGCCATACTCATGATCTTCATGAGCTGCAGACTGAATCTTGAGGCGTGCCCGAGGGCAAGATTCTGGAGGTCGTGGACGACGTGGAGTCCGGTGAAGTCGACGCCGTGTTGGAGGTAGAAGTCTACTGCCATGGAACATCGCTTTATCAGAGGTTCCAGGTTGAACAGGGAAGGGTCTGAGGAGTCAATCTTCATGAGGAGCACTCTGTGTCCCTCCTCCGTTAGGCCGGGGAGAAGCGCCAGCTTGCTGAGGGGAGAAACAATATTAATGGGTATATAGTTATACATTTTAAGGGTAAAAACTCTTTGATTAAGAGATAAATGACTCTTTGTTTTCTAAACTAGTGGATATACAGTTTGATGATGTACATCGTTCGTATTCAATCACAAAGTCGAGTGGATCAAAATTAAATAGAATCAAAGTAAGTTTGACTACTAATAGGACTAATGCTATTTACAACACAATAAACTGTCCGAAAGGCTGTATTCGGCGAAAGAAAGGCATTTTAGCTGGAAGGACTAGTTTTGCAATAATTGTTCATTGCGACAGATTTAAAATGTCACTGGTGTTCACTGAAAAACGGAAAGTACTACGACGGATGCAAGGACAAAAATCCCCAAGCAGTTGGCAATCTTTGTTCTAATAAGCCCTGTGACCTGAAGATGCTGGGTGTCCCAGCTTTTAGATCTAGGCTAAAGGAAATGTATTTTTGTAAATAGCTAAAATCTTGTTAATAGGGGATCAGTATTTTTGTTTTGTCTTTAGTTTTAAGTTAGGATTAGTTACTTGACAAGAGTCATCCTGTAAAACAGTTTGTACTGAGGAGCGCTTGCTAATAAAAGGCATTTTTATTTATTATTTATTTATTTATTTAATATTTGGATTAATTTAATTTCGTATATGCTGCTGCGTCAACCAACAACATCTTTTGAGTACGACCGAAAATTCATTTTGATTACTGTTCCTGATGTTTTGAGATAACATTGGTTGTACAGCGTGTTAAACAAATGTAAAGTGATCCTTTTAATAAAATCTTCTAAACAATTACTTAAACTTAAAGGATTCCTTATACCTTTTAAAAATATGACAAAAGCTGTAAATCGGGAGTTACCAGAATGCAAACCTTGACAGAATACTTTTGGAATGCATCTTACATCCATACGTACCACCATTAAGGATTTAAAGGAGTAAGTTTTTACTTTATTTAATTGGAAAAATTGACAAATAAGCTAGGTATGAGTATACTCATATCAAAGCAAAGTATTTAACTGATAAATACATTTTTAAACTTCCCTCTAAAAGAGCTTTTAAGGTTTACTTTCTATTGTCAAGTTTTAATCAAAAACTGTAATAAAACTATTGATTTTATTTAACTGTTTTATAAAATAAAATAACAATTAGATTTAGAAATTTACATTTTAGAAATATAAAAAATGACAACAAGTGAAGCTTTTAAATTCCTTTCAATAGGTTGTGAATCTATACGATATATAAATATAGATCTTCTTTGTATCTTCTTTAAATGTTGCCTACTTAAGATACTTAAGTAACTAATCTAGCCCCACAAATATTTAAATATACCATCAATAATTAACTTACACGTGCTTGTAGCTCTCCCTGATCTCCAGATCTTTACAGCTTCTATGGTGGAATATGTTTGGTACAGCTGTTCTAATGGAGAAGTATGAGTCTATGTAGGCCTTCGCCCTCTCTATGGAGTTCTTGGTAAGGAGGAGAAGTCCTTCGAGCCAGTTGTCTATCATTTTTACTAACAAAGAAAAAAAGCTGCAAGGTAAAACATGTTGGTGGAAAGTTCATGTATATATTGACCTGAGTAAAGAAAACAAATGAATGTTATGTTTGTAAAATAAAACTGTCTACACATATAGAGCTGTCAAGAAAGATGTAAATGATTGTTTAAAAGTAGAAAATAAAATATTGATCAAGTCAGATTATAGATTGAAAATGTAGGTACTGAAATAGATTATACAGGGTGATTGATATAAGTGTGCCAGCCGTTTTATTCGAAAACTATAAGAGATATCAAAAAAAGTTAAATGGTAAGTCCCTTGGATTTTTAATCAAAAAAGTTATAGTCAAGTCAAAAAAATTATTTTAGCCGCCATTTTTCCAATATGGCCGCCAACTTTGATTTTTCTTACGGAACACTCTGTATTTTATGATGTATTCTGGTAGAAAAAGTAATTTTAAGACGATTTTATTCTTGTGATTTTTTCATAAACCTAACCGTTTCAAAGATAATAATGGTTTAAGTTGTGAAATTTTTAATGGTTTTCGAACAAAACAGCTGGCATGCTTGCTTAGGCCTTTATCAAAACTCTTTCTCATGCAGAAATTTCAAAACTTTAACCATTATTATCTTTGAAACGGTTAGGTTCATGAAAAAATCACAAGAATAAAATCGTCTTAAAATTACTTTTTCTACCAGAATACATCATAAAATACAGGGTGTTCCATAAGAAAAATCAAAGTTGGCGGCCATATTGGAAAAATGGCGGCTAAAATAATTTTTTTGACTTGTCTATAATTTTTATAATAAAAAATCCAAGGGACTTACCATTTAACTTTTTTTGATATCTCTTATAGTTTTCGAATACGGCTGGCACACTTATATCGATCACCCTGTAGATTGAAATTCATTCTGACAAAATACCGTTCTTCAATATGAATAAAAGGCATGTATTTATAAACCACAAGCTTAAGACTTAAGAATGTTTTATAGCCTTATTTATCTCACTTCAACAGCAAGCCACTTTGTGTAGAACTATATTTCTAAGCTGAGTGTAGAACGGAGTGAGATGATTTGTATAGCTTTGTTACTGAGGAGGATAAAGATGTTTCTGAAGCCAACCGTAAAAAAAACTACTGAACTTTTTCAGTATCCAGTCACCTTATTTGTGTTTGATCCACAATAAACCCACATAATACTATGATGAGCTATTCTTTATTTTCTCTGTCGATGCATGCTACATCTCAAACAAAACATACCCACCCGGTGTGGGTGTAGGGTACCTTGTGGATTGCTTTATTGATTATGGGGAGAGTATAATTTTTGTCAACGTTTTTTAAATTTGGGTTTTGGGTAGTAATATATCAGTTTTGCCCTCTGAACCCTACAGTATGTATGTATGTGTGGATGTGTAAAGAGTTATAGGCTACACCTGAGGCCTGATCTCTGTTATGAGGGTACTTATTACGTGGGTTATTTTCACGACCTCTCCAGGTGTTATACAATTTCATTTTGTTTTCAATCAACGCAAAAAGCTTTAAATATTTTGATTATATCCCTTAGTTTATTATAGCTCTTTTAAACATGAGTAAATAGACAGCAAACGTAAACTTGACCCAACCCCCAAATTGTTGTGATTTTTGCCATAAGCCTCTAATCTTAATGCTCATGGTTCCCCCCGTCGTTTACCCCGTATAGGTTTTGGATGTTGAATTTTAACTCCAGACAAATGGGAGGAACTGTGTTGATTTGCTGATACTATTTATTATTATTTATTGTTTACAAAGTATCTCTACTCTACATTACATCAACTTACATGACGATACGTCCGGCAGGTGAGGCTGTTTTCCCATCCATTGTTTCAACATTTGTACGTCTTGCCCCACAGTTTGACTGGTCATGTTGTACTCACTGTAGAGTCGAGACTTACGCTCCGCGCTGTACACCGCCACATTGTCCATCAACTGCAGACAAACGCATTTATTGTTACTAATTGTGAACAAATATTTACCGAGTGATTGTGTATTACCATGTATTACATGTTGTTTTTGTTCGTAATACATGTATGTCCTATTTACCATCTGAACTCAATAATATTTCAAGCAGTTCATAATTTTTCTAGCACACTCAACACAACACACCATGAAAGAAAATCATGTTGTAAATTACGAAAAATCTCTAAATTGACTTTTGTTGACATTATTCAACTGGTTGAGAAACATCTCCAAGCAGTTATCATTAGTAGTTAGAGAAGTATTTTTGTATACGTTGTTTTTGTTATTTTGCACGTTACAGGGAAGTGTAAGCATTAGAGACACCTGAGATGCGCAAATCCCAAACTTAAACAAGACGTGATCCCATGATAATCTGCCATGTTTTGTTTATGTTTATGCTGAGTATTCTATGCAAGTATTCTGTCGTTTTATGGAACAATTAATACTTTTATGAATAGCTTTTTACTTAGTATTCTGAAGAGTAGCTACAAATTAATAAGCTTAGCTTACGAGAATTTATTTATTCTGTGAGAAATATTAGGAAAACAAGGTGATGCGTTGTCTTTTGAAAACACCTAATAAAATATTTAATGGTTAAGTGAGATAGGGTACTTAATATACAATAATATAACATTTAAGTAACACATAACAAACTAGGTATAGTAACATCGTTACTATTTCAACATCCTGGTAGTAAAACTATCAGTACTTAAAATAATTTAAATCCTCATAAGATGGATGGGAAAAGGGAATTCCGTCCATGGGGTGGGTTCTGGTTCAGATCCCGATAATGGCCAATAACATTAAGTTCCGGAATAACCCCATAGCTTGGTAGGTCAGCCCACCTTAATCTGTAAGTCATCATGTCTATATTGTAATGTAAAATGTAATTTTACCCTCATTCGAGAACTTTTGCTCTGCGAAGTCATTAGCTTTTATTAAACATTATACATAAAATAACACATAATTGTGACAGTAAACAGCACGAAAATTCAGATATATATCTCGAAACTCTCCAAAGTATGAACTTATTATTTACATAACAACAATAATTATTGTTTCAATTATTGAAAGCACAAATTTTTAAACATTCACACAATATCATAAATTATTAATTACATTAAAAACAAAAAACCTAACTGTAAACAATCCTACTTTGACAGTTCTCATTGTGTATCACAGCTTTTTGTTGTTGCTTAGTTCAAACGTAGACAAAAAGGTTCAAATTAGCTGTTAAGTGCAAACAAATGATAGTGCTGTTGAGAAGCCTTATACCTTTTTAATGCTATTGCATATGATAGAACCAACTTTATTAGTTGAAACAGCTGACTAAATTCTTTAAATCCTTTAAAATATGAATACTCATTAGGTTAACATGGGGAACTACAGAGCCACTGGGTCGGTGTCGGAGCCTGAGAGGATTTTTGAGATGACAATATGCCTATAAGTTAATCGGGAATGTGAGCTATCATCATACCAATTTTCAGCCCAATCCGTCCAGTAGTTAATGCGTGGTTGAACTTCAAACAAACACACAAACTTTCACATTTATAATATTAGCAAGATTATTTACATGCACCTTTTAAATCATCCGCTACATTTGCGAATAGTTCTAATTCCGCCCGACACACGAAACCAATCAGTTGTTCACCAAATTAATTGCTTTACGTAACGATTGCATAACGTTACTCATCAATCCTTTAAACAATACCATGCAATGATGTAACATGTGAAACACGAATCACGCACACAACAGAACTTAATTACGATATGTGTAATGTGGTTGATCCACGTAAACAGTAATAATCCCGAAATATTCGCTAATTAATTGGTTGGCGGTTCGTGTCTCTAATTTTTCTGATTAGCGGGAGTAAGGCGGTGATTATAACCGAACATTGCGTCCGTCGCCTAGGAAACCATATTATCTGGATTTGCTACCTGATCACGCAATGGGTTGAATACAAAACAACCCTACACGAGTGCTTACGCTCAATGTGTACAAACAAAACTATGAAAATGTATTGTTGCGTTCATGGATTAAATGCTCTTTCTAATAGATCTGTTATTTCTAATTTTATTTTTGCGTTTATGTCCACGCCTTTGGCATTTTTAAAGTTTTTCTATGTAAGAACGATCGAACCGCTGGACTTGGTACTATATAATATAGAACTTACTCAGATACCATTATCAATTCATAGCCCAATGACAAATGTCGCCTGGGTAGAAACTACCTCGCTTGGAACCGAACAAGCGACCTTCGGATTTGAAGTAGATCACTATTACTATTCGGATAATCTTACCTGCGTGGCTTAGTTGAAAAGAATTAGGTTTGTTTCCACCCGGTAAATATAGGTCGCGTTCGATGTTAATTCTTTGTTTCGTCTTGTCTTACCGACCTTAAGGCAATTTTGACAGAATGAAGCGATATCATTATAAATTCATGTTGCTAAAAACTTGCTTACCATTCGCTAACCAAGTTTGGAAATCGGTAAACACCAGAGTCACATAGTTTATTATTAGTGTTTCTTACAAATCTTTTGGTAGTCTTGTGATTTACCACTGAGTAAACAACGCATTGTAAATCAACCTAAATATCATCGGAAAATTCTGTTCACACCAGCGCATTCTAACGTTAACCGAGCCCGACACACTATCAAGAAAGCATTCAGTTGTTTTAATATGACGAGAAATCAATTTGTGGTAGACTACTGAAACTTAATTTTTATTAGTGAAATTTTCATTTAATATATCCTTAACCCGAGTTAAATTATTGTATTTGATTTTATTTGGTGACTGCAATACATACTATTTTAAACATTATCAATTATTTAACGGCATTAAGTCCCATTGGGAATTTTACAAATTTGATCACGTTGTTTAGGTAGTTAGTTAGTTACTAGCTAAATCTGCAGAAGTGTTATTTAACTTTACAGGAATTAAATTTTTATGATCTTTAAAAAAAACGCCTTTTCTCATTCGTCAATGTAGAACCGCTGGCTATAAAAGTATTACGTTATTTAAAATAACAAATCGAAGCATTTTTCTCATTGTATTGTCCCGATAGACGTCAAAATACATTTCAAAAATATTTAATTTCATTTCAACACGAAACGGCAGTAAAAGGAATATATTGACTATTTTAAACGCAACCCCATCGTAGGACACTGTACATTTGACAGAGTTTGCTTTGACCTGTGAGCCAAAGTGACCAGTCATTGTTCACCTGTTACTTTCGATGCTCCAAGGTCATGGTGAAGGTGTTTCAGGATCGTTGAACTGTACATTTCATCATCGTAGGACACTGTACATTTGACAGAGTTTGCTTTGACCTGTGAGCCAAAGTGACCAGTCATTGTTCACCTGTTACTTTCGATGCTCCAAGGTCATGGTGAAGGTGACCCAGAGTCGATGAACTGTGTCACTCTCTCTTTCATTTGAAGAATCCTCACAGTGCCTATCTTTCTTCTGGAGAATCCAGCTTGATAAATTAATATATATTGATATACCGTGACGGTATGATTAAATAAGTAGGCCTGTATTCCGTACCCGAGAACCATGTACGTGTCACAGTGTGTTCGTGTTTGTGATGTGAGTTTGACGACATCCAAGCACTGCTGCAACAACTGACTGTGACAACAATGCTACAATTTTCGACATATCCTACGTGAATATGGTTGCAATTTTCGTCGAAACCGTGGTTTTAGATTCCATACAACCTCTTTGAATTGAATCGAAAATACAAGTTAAGTAAACCACTATTAATATTCACTTGATAGACATGATTGATGATGGTCAGTACAATTTTATTACCACATTGAATATAAGATACTAAATTATAACCATGGTTTTAACTGTAGCACTATCGTTTCTATGTGACTTAACTTAATTTAAACTTATTAAAAAAGCACAAGTTTACACCACAAAAATTGCGAAAACCTTTGAAATACTTCATTACACTCCGAACAGCTACAGTTTAGTAACTAAGGAGTGCTGGTAAAATGGTTTTACACAACAAAGTTTCAACCGACATTCCATTTCCAGTAACCATATGTTGACAACTTTCTTTTTGAATAGCATTAGACTGTATTAAGGTTTTTTAGGGCATTCACTTAGGTGATGAGAGGGTGTGTTTATTTTATACTGGTACCTGTTCTTTAAAACGGCGTAAGAAAACAAAAAGAAATAATTTGTTTTTAATAGTTACTTTACAAAAATTCTAATTCGCCCCATTATCTGCTATGAAAGTCAATTCTACCACTTAGTTGAATACAATTTTCATTGTTTAAATTCATTCTGTAGTGTGGATGATGGAGGTATAAATCTATCTTTATAAGTTAATCGAAATGTAAGTGGAGCAAGAAAGGTAATAAAATAAAAACATTTTATTTCATATGGATCTTTTAAATAGTTTAATTTCTTAAACCACGCCTCGAAAATATTATGACTTTAACAAGGAAAATGTTTTAGTAAGCAGTAATATTTGTGTGAAATTGCCTCATTTGTTCCTTAGTAATTGTTAGATAGAAATACAGACTAAATACTTAATTTTATATAATCTTTATCGTATATAATTATGGAAATGATTAACTTATCCCCTTACGAGTAGGGTTGCATATACACCTACCAACTTTTACGTTCCTTACTACAAACACACTATACCAACTACTTATACCTAACTACCACTTCCCTTACATATTATGCCTAGATACAAATTAAAAACTTATATTGTAGTGAGACTGTGGTTTTTATGTTGTGGCAAGACTTTTAACTTTGGAAAATAACTTAATACCCGTCCACGGACGCATTCCTCAAATTTCTCTATGCAAAAGGATACAGTACGCCATTACAATATTGCCAAGTAATTTATAACTGTCATAATGGTGTGCCAGTGGTGGCTTAGCCATTTAAACAACAATAGCCTCACTTTAAGTGTTTAGTAAACAAGTGATCTGCATGTTCTAACACTAAGT